ACCCAGGGCAGGCCACCCCACAAGGGGCTAGACACCCAGGGCAGGCCGTCCCACAAGGGGCTAGGCGCCCAGGGCAGGCCACCCCACAAGGGGCTAGACACCCAGGGCAGGCCATCCCACAAGGGGCTAGGCGCCCAGGGCAGGCCACCCCACAAGGGGCTAGGTGCCCAGAGCAGGCCACTTCACAAGGGGCTGGGCATCCAGGGCAGACCACCCCACAAAGGTAGAGGTCAAGGTTGCTATTGGCCCTCTTCCCACAGACAGGTATGGACCCCCAGAAGATATTACTCGCCAAGCAGAAATATCTCCGGAAGCAGGAGAAGAGGACGGTGAAGCCCACACAACAGAGGAAGTCCCTCTTCATGAAAACCAAGGTGAACTGAGGCTAGAACCACCTCCATGCCCATTCTGGTCTTGCCCCTGGCTCCCAGACTGCAGTAGCACACTGAGAGGCAGGCAGGAAGTCTCCGAGAGCACTGCTGGACACTCTCCTAGGGGAAGGCTGCCAGCTCCCAGAGGACCCACTGGCCCCCATCTCCAGTGGGAGTTTCCTAGGTGCTCAGGCTGTGTGAAGGCGAGAGGGTGGGAGAAGCAGGCTTAGGCAAATGCACAGGGAATCCTACTGTCCCTAGAGGGCCTTCCTCTCAAGCAGTGTGGCGGAGGCTTCAGAGAACTGGAAGGTTCCTCTCCCACACACCACTTGGATTGGGAGAGAGAAGCTAGCAGGCCTCCTATGGGAAGGGGCTTTAGGGGAAGCCTGTCTGTATACACTACTGAAATAGTACCTGCCTCTGCTTGGGGTTTCTTGTCACAGTCCCTGACTGTCCCCTTCCCGCCCACAGACGGTCTCTCTGCAGGAACTCCAACAGGACTTCGAAAGCGCTCCCTCAACTGACCCCAACAACAACCAAGCTCCTGCAGGTGATGCCAACATATCCTACATCACCTTCAGCCCAGAGACCTCAGCGGCTGCCCCGTGTGAGCCGCCCACCTCCGCTCAGTCTCCCAGGGAGCCTAGTGATGCTCTAGCCAGTGTCCCGCCCTTTGTCACCTTCCACACCCTCATCCTCGACATGAGCGGAGTCAGCTTTGTGGACTTGATGGGCATCAAAGCCCTAGCCAAGGTGAGGCCTCGTGGGGCAGTAAGGAGGGTGTGTGCCCTACCCCTGTTCACGTCCTTCCCTGGGACTAGCTGAGGGAGCGTCCAGACCCTAGGGACCCCTTGCCCCAGACGTGAGTAGGGTGGATACATTGTTCAGGGCAATGAGGTGTTGGAGCAAACTTCCTGAGCCTCAACCCACCAAGGCCATTCTGGGTTCTTTCTCAAGCCATCAGTCCCCAGAACCCACTTTGGGCCCTCTGAGTGAGTCCAGTTTGGCCCCTGGTTCTGCTGTCCCTTCCTACACTCACCAGGGAGGAAAACGTAACACTGCTGTGTCTCAGACTTAAGCCAAACAGGCCGCCTGCGGATGCCATGGACAGAAGGACCCATCTGACCACTTTTTGGTGGCCCTGTGAAAGTCAGTTTGGCAGCAAGTCTCAAAAGGACTCAGACAGAGGCAGCCTAGGAGATCAGGGAGCACAGACTATGTCAGGCCCTTCTCGGGTATTGAGCTCAGCTGGCTTCTCTAGGCTGGACCTGGATTCCCAGACGTCGCTGGCCTGTCTAACTGAGCCTTGGTCCCGAGCATTGAAAAAAGGCCATGGTAACTTTAAGTGCCCGCCACACTGGCAAAGCCCCATTTCCGCCCCACTTTTCAGAGAGGCCTTGGGCCAACACTCCAGGGAGACGTGGGGTGCTCTCTGCCACTCATGCCTGTGGCTGCCAGGGCCCTCAGGATTGCTTGTTTGTTTTCCTTTGCCTCTGAAGTGTGTTTCGTGAGTCACTTTTAAGATCCACTCAGAACATTCCTTTCCTTTCTTTCTTCCCCGTTTCCTTCCCCTCCCCTCCTCTCCCAACCCCTCTAGCTAAGCTCCACCTATGAGAAGATTGGAGTCCAGATCTTTCTGGTGAACATCCATGGTAAGAAATGTGGGGGTTGGGTGAGCATTTAAGGAACCAGAGGCTGGAGAAGGGATGCAGTGGGGACCGGTTGGTGAGCATCCTGGGGGTGGGGTGTGTTCACGTGGTTGAGAGCAGACAGGATTATAATCTGCTCATCACTAATTTGTGTGTATCCTGACTCTAGTTAGCCAAGTCACTGTACAGTCTGGGGTCCATCTCCACCCGTGTAAATTGGAGGGTTGGCTGGTTGAACCTAGAATCCTTTCCACGGATCTGGAGAAGCACAGAAAGCCCACAGACCCTAGCTTCCAGGGACTTGTCTCCAAAGGGTGCTTTAAGCAGCCCCAAGGACATGCCTCAGAGCAAAGGACACTCACTGAATTTGCACATGTGCCAAGCACAGACTGCACAGAAGGGCCCAAAAGAAACACAAAGGGGTTGCACACATATCCAGACCCACCCAGCAGGACTCTTCCGGCCCCGTGATGTGCATGCTCATTCCTCTTACCCTCGATGAACACTCCCAGAAAACCACCTCCAGAATGTGCTGTATTAACCTTTCCTTGACAAGCAACAACTTCTCAAATCCGAAGGCTTCCTTCTGCACCGGATTGAGGGCTCAGCATTTTTAAGATCATACTGCCCTCTGCTGTCTAGAACTGATATTGCAGGGTCAGTCGTCCTATCTTCACCAGTGCCTCCCGCCAGCTCACCTCACCCGCCTCCTTCCAGCCCAGGTGTACAATGACATCAGCCATGGAGGTGTCTTTGAAGATGGGTGTGTCCAGCGCAATCACGTTTTCCCCAGCATTCATGATGCAGTCCTCTTTGCCCAGGCAAACACTAGAGAAGACCCAGCACGCAGCTTCCAAGGGGTAAGGTCCCCACACCTGAAGAACCCTAGGCTCCAGCTCCCACAAACAGGAGAACCAGTGCATGTTAGAAAGACCAGGAAATGGTTTGAATTCTATCACCAATTCTGCCACCTCATGCTCCTGAACCTCAGTTTCCCTATCTGTAGAATGGACACCATCAACCATTGCCCTTGATTGTTTTGTGGTAGTGGTGGGTGCCCCGGCTTAGAGACTTCAGGCTGAGATGGATGGAGGAGCTGCAGCTGAGTTTTATCTCTGCGTCTTGGCATTTAATTTACTAGCTCAGTGAACAGTATGAGAGGAAGATACAAACAACTGTCTAAAATGTCAGAAGCCAGACCCAGCCTCCCCTCACTTGCAGGCCCTGGGAGACTAACAGAACGCTCTGACTCATGAACCTTGCCCACAGGGACTCTCAGAGAATTCTTGTTCTTTGTCATTACACCAATAATACCCAGTTATGTGGGTCCTGGGGATTAAACTTGGGTTCTCTGGCTTGGTGACACATGCCTCTACCCACTGAACCATCTCTTCCAGCCTAGTTTTACTATTTATAAATAATGTATTTTGCATATGTTCTCTATTACCTATTATAAATTACACAGACAATGCACACACACTCCTTAAAGCAGGGCAGCGAGAAAGCCAGAAAAAGGAGTCTGATGATCCTGCCTTTGCAGAATCCCTGTGCCTCCCTGCCTATAACACCCACAAGAGAGGCCAGGTCCTATGGGCATCTGCCTGTTGCTGTGCTGTCTCATGAGGCCGGCAGGGGAGGGCCAGGGAAAGGGGTGAGGGAAACAGTTTTCCCGCCACTGTGCACCCACCTCTGACACCCGGACTCACCCTGCACCCACTTCCTTCCCTTCAGGCTCCAGGAGACACTGAATTCTCCCTGTATGATTCTGAAGAGGACGGTCCCAGCTATTGGGACTTAGAGCAGGTAAGTAGAGGGGCAAAAGGTGGGGGAGGAGAGGAGAGGGAGGAGGACCGGCTTCTACAGAAGGTGCTTGTTGGCTGTCTCCTCCGGTTCAGAGCAGTAACCTTGAAGGTGGCAAGGTTTCACCTTTCTTTTAAGAACAGATCTTGATTCTTCTCAGCATCAGCACCCCACACACACACATGCACATGCAAACACTCATACACACATGCACACACACAGAGAGACATCCTGTGGAATGAGAGAGCCTCTGGACCAAGTCCTAGAGAATTGCTATCTATCCTTAACTCTCCAGTGTGCCAATCCTGTGGTCATGGCCAAGCCGTATAACATCACAGGGTCTGTTGATATTATCGGTAAAGTAAGAGATATTTAATCTGTCCCCCCCACCCCCAGGACTGACTGAAGGGGCCACTCATCTTTCATCAACTCATGAGGTGTTTGTGGAGCACCCACTGCTTGCCTAACACTGTTGCAGGTGGGCAGACAGCCGTGAACAAAGGCCCCTGTTCTTTGGAAGCTGCATTCTGGGAGAACTGATGTTTGGGGGTATAAATGAATTATCACCACCACTGGTTAAACATTTAGAACTAGCAGCTATGCGGTACAAGCTGTTACTGCCTTCTTGGGGCCTGTGAGATTTATCACCATTCCAGGCCCTTGAGCTAAAAGAAAGCAAGTGACTAAGTTTAGAGAAATCTGGACCTGAGTCTGTTAAAAACAGCATGTGTCTTCCCATTCTTTTCTGGTTTGAGTTCCACGATCCTCTGAGTGTGTCACCCCAAGTGTTGATGACAAATGAGGGACACCTGAGCGCTACCAGGCTGATTTCTGTGCCCCATTGGAATCTCCAGCACATTTTCAAAAAATTAAAAACCTAGATACCTAGATGGGACAGAAATAATACAGCTTCTGTAATCTTGACCTTGGTGTTACCTAGCTATAAATAAATAAATAAATAAATAAATAAGGAGGCAACACTCAGAGAGGAAAGTGTAAAAAAGAAAAACCACATAGCACAGGCCAACGGGACACAATTCCCAATTAGATGCTACTAACACTTTCTCCATCACCCCATACCAGTTCCCGTCTTATGCTAGCCTGCCCTTCCTCTGCTCCATCACCCAGTACCAGTTCACACTTTATGCTAGCCTGCCTCTCCTCTGCTCC